TGGCAATACCTCACATGTGTGGTTTGAACACTGTTTACATATGTGGGCATGACCTACGTATGTGTTCACCACGGGGGGACAGGGGCACTTTAAACTTTAAAAAAAAAAAATGTATTTAATTTTTTTTTTTTTTTTACACTGTTTCCTTTAAAAAAACATTTTTAGTCACTTTATTCCTATCATGAGGAATGCATACATCCCTTGTGATAGAAATAATTAGTGAAAGGTCCTCTTTATGCAGAGATATGGGGTCCTAGGGCCGTGGTGTTGGGGTCTCCCCAGGATGTGAGGAACCCAAGGTGACCATCCCAGAGCCCAGAGGAGAGACATCTGTTGCAGACCCTCACCGCAGACCTAAAGGGGACCTCTAGAAGTTATAGAAGAGGTTGTTTCATTCCAGGCTGCATCTTTCTCCAGAACTGAGGGAACCTTGGGCTTATGTGATTTATATGCGCATTTATATTGCGCCTCTGGTGAGTGTGCAATTTTATCATTTCTTTTCGCACATCACCGGACTACAGTTACTACTGAGATTAAAGAGAAGTCACCTATTAATACACCTGTTGAATTTCAATATTGGAATAATTCTTACCACTGTGGGACATTTACCACTTTGATATATGGTCATACGGACGTTTTTCATTATTATTCTTTTTATGGTGATTCATGTTGTGTTTTACTGGTATTAATAATTTAGGTCACATAGATTTAGCGCTGCACTACTTGTTTTATAATGTTTACAAGGCGACTGAACCTGAAGTGCCATCGCTCCAGTCCTCCAAGGTCATAGAGATGAGTGGAGGCCATCTTTCCTTCACTAATCTCCATGCCCAGGCAGCGTCAGGATCGTTCGGTGGTTTCTCAGGTAAGTCTGAGAACTACTGAGCAGTGGCCGGCAGCGGTGAGGGGGCAGGGTTATTTTTGGCACCTGCATCGGTGCTTTTTTTTTTTTTTCATATCGGCCAATGGCCAATAGGGGTGTTTTCAGCTGAAACATTTTGGCCACCAAAATTTCAGTGCACCCCTAGCTCTACACGACAGTCAATCAGCTTCTAACTTCAGTTTGTTCAATTAAAATTTGACAAAAAAAACAACTGGAAGCTGATTGGTTTCTATGCAGAGTTGCACCAAATATTGCACTCTCCAGTTTTAGTGAATCAACCCCAAAGTGTCAAGCCAGCACCTTTTGGAATGGATAGGGAAAGGCAGAAATATTTGGAGAAAGGGAAGCCATTTTGATCAGCCTGTGTTGACCCACATTTCAAACAGAATAGTATGAGTTGTAAATAAAAATTAAAAGGAAAATAGAGGATAAAATTAAAGTTTTATGAGCATTGTAGAAAAGTAAGAAACAAAGTGTCAAGCCAGTGAGAAGAGGAAAAAAAAACAATAATAGTGAGTCCCATCCACCAATAAAATAAGCAATGAATGTAGAAATAGCATGGTCCATAGCATATGTGACTTGACTTAATGTAGTCTGCAGACTGAAGAACTTGGAAAACCACTGATTGTGACAGCAATAGTTTTTGATTTGGATATTAAGTGAGCAGATTTTGAAGTTGGTTGGAGTTGTCCTTTGCATATGTCCCTGAGGAATACAGTGTCCTCGTTGAGAAAGCATATTCCAGCTACACTGTCATGAAATAATTATTCTTGGAATACATTTTTTTTCTTTTTCGTGCGTAGACACAATATGGATTATGAAACACTTCGTTCTTCTCCAGAGGAAGTGCATAATTTGGTGATTAAACATCCGCAGCAGAGACGTAAGGATAATGCGAATGAGCAGGGGAAACCTTTGAAGTCTTTCTCGTTTTATGTGAACAATAGTTTATGGCTGAGAATCATAAAACATTTTGTGCTGCATTCATAAAATGGGTCAGCGATGATTCTTCAAGCTATTTTTAAAATGGTTTGGTTAAGGTTTAGAAAGATAAATGTAGATATAATTGTTCTCTTTAAAGAATATGTGTCACCTTTGTTCAGGTCAAAAATGCTATCCTTGAAAGGAAGGGGATAAAATCTCTTTTTATCCTGTCTATGTAAGTTGGGAGATTTAACTTCCTGTGTCAGAAAAGTGAGGACATCTCTCCAAAGTTAAAAGAAATCCCCTATAAAGCAGTTATCCCCATTGGAAGATTTCTCCTCACCTCGTGTTCTGGAGACAACTGTAAAACACTGGATTTCCTTAAAAAAAAATGTGTGCCATTGACAAACAGATGGGGAATCTCCTCAGCAATAAAAACCTACCATAGCATGTAACCCATCCACACTCCATCCAAAACTACAACACTTCTGATTGGAGATATACTTTTTAAGTGATTGTCAGCAAAAATTACCAGTAGTGCTAACATGTAAACTTTTAATAAACCCAAAACCAAAAATGCAATATATTTCAGCTTACCAATCATTAGATATGATTGCATAAATTGCATGAAGGTAAAAAAAAACCTTGAGCCTGTATAACCACTTTAAATGGTTTTCCTCATCCCTATAACTGATACATCTGGAAGAGAGCTTGTTCTTTGAAAAACAGCAGACTTACTGGTGGCTTATCCAAAAGGAAATAGAAGAAAGAAAGCCTAAAAAAGAAAACTAATGCAGCCATCACATCTAAGAATTGATAAGCTGCAATATATATATATATATATATTATATATATATATATATATATATATAGTTTTGGGTTTAATACTGCTTTAACCCACCTGCCCATGAAATATCTAGAACAGCGTTTCTCAACCTTTTTCAACACAGAGGAACCCTAGAAATAAGGTTCCGGTCTCAGGGAACCCCAGATAAAATGATTTTATCTACAAACTCCTGATACATTCGTGTGACGGTCAGTGGGAAGAATGCCCCTTACACGTAAGGTTAGAATTACCCTCTTATAGATAGCCAAAAAGATCAGTGGTGTCAGTGGGAACTTATCTGAGAGACAGAAATTGCTTATTGCTCAAGGAACACTTAGCAACCTCTGGAGGAAGCATAGAGTTCCATGGAACCCTGGTTGAGACGCCCTGATCTAGAACATTAACAACACATCGAATACCGCTGAGGTCGCTTAGAACAATCGTCTTTTGTTCACATGGTTTACATTGTGTTTTTTTAACATTTTGCTTCATCCAATTAAAGTATATGTAAACCTAACAATGAACTCCTTTTCTTGCACACTTTTGATCTGTTAAACCTACCACTGAAAGGGTTTTGTCCTGTCTGTTCAATAAATGCAAAAAATACCTGTGGGCCCTGCCAGAAATCTCGTTGTGAGCGGATATCCTGTGCTCTCTGCTGATTGTTATCAGTCAAAACATTTGTTCCTGGCTGTCTCTGTGAGCTACTTAACACCTCCTCATCTTCCTATTCTAGGGTGACAATACTGCTTCTACTTAGATACAGTACAGAGAGTGAACCTTGTCACCCTAAGGTCATATTGTAATGGAACCGGACCCCGACCGCACTAGGGTATTTCCGTTAGACTCCCGCTTCCCTGTCCGAACACAGATCCTCGGACACCACCGCTGATCATGCAGGAAAAATAGAGAGCTTCCTGTCTTTCTTAAGACAGGAAGTCAACTGCTTTATTTTAACACAAACACAAGATATATACACAGGGCGGGGGAAATACAACCAGGAACAGGAAACACATCAGCAGGCTGACCCATCAGGGGGAAGGACTGCTGGTAACACCCGCCACCAAACCAAGACACACAATAGAACAAAGGGATATACCACCTGGCAGTAGACAGTAGGGAACACATACATCCCATAATAGTTTGCTGACAAGCAAGACACAATAGAACAATGGGATGCAGCAAGTGGCAGTGTACAATGGACAACCCCCACACCAATACACAATATCAGGACAGACCACCCTGTACTCTTAACAGGCACAGGGTGGGTTACACATAAGAGCAGGGGTGGCCAACCTGCGGCTCTCCAGCTGCTGCAGGACTACAAGTTCCATCATGCCTCTGCAAGTCAGTAACTTCCCATCTTTGCAATGCCTCATGGGAAATGTAGTTCCACAACAGCTGGAGAGCCACAGGTTAGCCACCCCTGCATAAGAGGAACAGGAGTCCCCCCACCCCCAAAAGTCACTCCCATCACACCTCTTCACATGAGCGGCTGGGGGCAGTAAAACAGGCGGCTGACCCTTGGCTTTTCTGCCCCTCCTGAAGCCCACCTGAACTGTAAAATACATCCAGGGAGGCTGTTCACATACCGCACCTGTCGAAAATCTAATGCAGTATTCAACTCAATGGGGCTGCGCTATAATCATGAGCAAAAGATTGATTTACATTTGCGGTGCATTTACTTCATTTTAAACCTCCAATCCCCTCCAAAAAAAGGCATTCAGGAGGTGGCAGGATCATCTCCTTAACACCTGACAGCGGCTACTTAGTTATACTCTGAAAAACAATCCACCATGGATCCCCTTTTCAGAGCATGAGCTATTGGGAACCTAGCCTAAGACAAAAATTGTATTGCTGGCCAATTCACAAGATTAAAGTTGAATTACATAAAAAAAAAAAAAAAGCAAATGCAGACACCACAACTAAGGACTGGTAAGCTGAAATATACTGTGTTGCATATTTGTTTTTGGGTATAATTTGTCTCAACCTTTGTTGCTGTCAGTTTTTTTTCTGGACAACTTCATCTGCATGTAAATTAAAAAAAAATAAAAAAAAGGCTTGTGGAGTTAATAAAATATATAAATATGAAAAATACTGAATTTCATCTTCACAGTAACATTATGGACATTTCGTTTTCAGAACACAGTATTTATTGTGATAGTGGTCCTTTATTATTGGTGTTATTTCAGGTGGTGCTATCATTTTAAAATGTCAGCAAAAAAGTTGGATCTCCAGTTATTTTGTCCTGACCTCTGACCCAATGAGTACCCTTTTTCCAAAGATCATTTGCTTTTCATTTTGCAGATCAACATGGTAGAGCACCAGACAGAGGATGCGAATCAACATCAACAGCAGAGCCCTTATATGCTCTTCCTGCTGGTTTTAGTCTTCTTCATCACAGGACTTGTCGGTTTTCTGATCTGCCATATCCTGAAGAAGAAAGGCTATCGATGTCGGACATCACCAGAGGAGCTGGATCCTGAGATGAAGGAAGATTTGAGTAGAGAACAAGAGAGTAAGTATGAGAAACAGACAGATGCACCATTATTAGTATGTCACAACATTCACAGGGCAGTCCAGGACTGGCTACAAAACATATAGTTTTGTATAAATATGTGTATGTGTCTGGATTTAGGCATGCTTTGAGTGAGGCCAGAACATACCCTGCTTTTTTGTAGTATATAATACTGGGAATAATAGCATTTTTTACAAGTTTTTGAAAGTTATTAATTACTTTCAGTTACTCTAGAACACGGGTGTCAAACTGGCGGCCCTCCAGCTATTGCGAAACTACCTTTGAGAGTCATGCTTGTAACTGTCAATCTTGCAATGCCTCATGGGACTTGTAGTTTACAACAACTGGAGGGCTGCCAGTTTGACACCTGTGCTCTAGAAAGGGAAACTCCGTTGACCCTATAAGCCCATTTTCCTATTGTAGATCAGTGGTTTTCAACCTTAGGGAGATCATGGCCCAGTAAATGCTTCCAAAACCTTTTATGCCTCAACATGCCCATGATCATCAGGGAGATCACGCTTGGCCTGTTGCTGACCCTTGTTCTTAAAAACTAAGTTCAGCTTCGGGAACATGTTACATGTTCCCACTCCTGCAGAGGCTCAGCATTTCGAGTCCCATGTGTGACAGAGAAGTACACCGTACCAGCTGTCACTTTTTGAAAAGAGTGCAGCCATACAAAGCTCCACCCACACACTGCATCATTCATTTACAGAGTTCTGTGAATGAATCAACTACAAGTACCAACATCCTTTGCGGATGTCGGCTTGTAGTTCTCAATTAACTATCACGGCACTGTTGAGCACTGTGGTAGTTCATTGATTCTTCCTGTCAGTGTGAAACTGCCTGCCTGTACATCGTACAGAATACATTGACAGTCTGCAGGAGTCCTGCATGGCACTAGCCTTCTGATGATCGCTGGTGCAATGCTTTCCAGGCTCCTAAAAAAAATTGTAAATGCACATTAGTTTACCTGAAAAATAATGTCCATTTATTATTTTTTTAAAGGTGCATTTATCCTTTAATCTTCCCCACTGTATCCATAACAAACAAAAGAAAATCTACACTCTAAATCCATAACTTATTATGTTAAGGAGCTATAGGGCTGATCCATTAAAACTGCAGTCAAGAAAAACAGCACACAATGGCAGTTTGCAACCATAGCAACTTCTTGTTTAACATTTTCTTATAAATAAGCAGTGAAAATCTGATTGGTTCCTGTTAGTTAAAACTTAGATTGCACGCTTCCTTCCCAACCTACCATGTATGCTGCAGCTCAGTTAAACTTGGTGGCCAGAGAAGGCTTCTGTGTATTTTTGGCACAGCTCTATGCTGATCATCAAGTTCCTCTTTCCCCTCCAGACCCGGACTGGATCTCTGCCTGCAAACTGGGGCTCCACTGCAGTTCCAGTGGCTTAAATGTGCACAGAAAGGGGTCAGCATCATATACAATGATGTCCTCTATGACACTGAGATCTTCATTGTTGTGCATTCCCACTAGTCATTCCCATTACCATTCCCACTGGAATGATGGCAAAGCCACGAGGCTTCCTTCAGTCAGTTCTCGCTGCTACTCTCGCTTTACTTGTAAGGAAGCTGAAGCCTTGTGTTTATCAGCCAGTGGGCCAGAAGGACCACCACTTCTCCACCCCCACTCCAGGAGCCTGCGGAAGTGTAAGACAGTGCTCTCTTGCTGAGCAGCAGCCCCCCATCTGTTCCAAGTCTACCTATCAAAGAAGACAGGAGACTAGGACCTAGCATGAGAATGAGTGCAGCCCAATACTAGTTGTTGAGAACCTTGTCACTAAGTATAAATAAATGAGAGTTACAATCACAAAAAACTTAAGTTTCTTATATGCTTACATGCCCTGTTTCCCTTTTCAGAAACTTTGTCCTTGCCTTGCATTGTGCCCTTGAAAATGCTAGGTTATTCGATTATTCCAAGAAGAGAAAATTTCTTAGCTTAGTTACTGGCTTTCCATCCCTCCTGAAACATCAGATCTCTCAGCTGTAGCTCCCAGCGTGTCCTCCCAAGGGCTCTTTTGACAGCCCGAGAGCCCTCATAGAGTGCTGGCCCAGCAGGTGAGAGAAGCTGCCGAGGATTCAAGTGCTGCTTTTGTCCATGCAGCTGCCCACACCTTATATTAAGCAGCCGCCTGCTTTTTCTTTCCAACCAGCAGCTCTTTCCTTTGTTCACATTTTTGCACAGTCATTGGACATGTGGTTGTAGTTTCTATGGCAACCGATGCTTTCTCCACTCTCAATATGTTCTCCTGTGAAATTATGGGACATAGTACTGGGATGTCAGTATTCACTACCTGCTGGGTGCCACTGATGTCAAAGACAAGATGGCAGCACCCAGAAGCAATCGTATCACATTTCAAAGGAGAGGTTTCTTTGATGTAATTCAGCATCAGAACTTTCAGGATTTTTTTTTTCAACAAAGCTTTTTCTAAGTCAAGATAAATTACAAGAAAGGTGATAAAATATACAATAATCACTGTGTCATAAAAGAATAAAGCAATAAAAAGACAGATAAAATCTCATATTAATGTAACAGATAAAATCTTACATTAACATGGTTTGCCATGCATTCAGACACCATACCATGTTTGCCTCTGTGGGGCCATAAAACATGTTGCCAAAAAAGATGTAATACGGTCTGTAGGTGCTGAAACTCCCTTGTGGGGAGGCACTGATGGACTATAGCCCAGGCAAGATCTTTGTGCGCATTTGAAAGAAACTTCCCAAACACGTCCCGGCAAACCATCTTAGACTTCACCCGTGAGAAATTTTAGACCTGTAAAACATCTTCCACCCCTCTAAGAACCGCCATTACCTTCTTCTGGTTGCTGGATGCTCCATGTCAACATGTTTGTGATTAAAAACTAGTTTTGCCTTTTTTAAAACCGCATAGTGTTTAGGGGGCGATAAAAGCACAGAAGTGTTTAGGGAGACTCTGGCCAATTGTCTAAAATATCATCCCCTCAGCGTTCTTTAAAAAGAAGCTAAAAATGTCATCAGATTTGAACATTTTTAAACACCAACAGAAATATTTAATATAAGATTAGTTTTGCTTATCCTTCCCCTCACTCGCCTCACACCTGTACATTAAATGCTGTTTTTAATTTTTCCCTATTAAAATTCCATAAAAAGTTAAAGCAGTTCTATGGTCACAGCATGCACTTTTATTTTTTAACATCGGCATTGTAATAGCAACACAAAACAATAGCTATTTTTTGACAATCCAAAATAAATGTACTTGAAAAATCTTCTTTCATGTTGTGAGTTTTGCCTCTCTGCTGCCTATCTCTTTCCGCAACCTCCTGGATTCCCTGCATGCTTTGCAGCTTCTCCTATGCTGTTCACTGTCAATTTCTAAGGAATAAATATTCTATGGTACCTTGCTGCCTGCAAGCAGCGATTCCTGTACTGACTTCGCCTCTAGAAACTCCTCCTCAGCCTCTGCAGTTCAGAATGCATGCTCTGTGAAATATGTTACACAGCAATGCCTAAGAGCATAGTGAATAGGTGTCATAGAATTCAAGGAAGTAAATGTGTGGGGATCCTCACAAAGTAAGTTTACAAACTTCAAGATCATTCGGATTAATAGAAATAGGCTAGAAATAATTAAAATATGATGTATGTATTTTAATGAGTAGATGATTTTACATTTTGACCATAGAAAAAAAACTTTAAATCATGGACATGTAAGCTTAAAATAAACATCTGAGGAAGGGAAAACCATGGCTACATACAACATAATTGGCAATAAAAAACATTTTTATTATTAAAAACTTTCTTTACATAGTTTTTCAGGAACTAAATACAATAAACACAAACTGTATTTGATTAACTAAGGGAAAAGGGGGACAGAGCTCTCCAAAGGGGAGGGGGAAATTGACCTTTATTTCCAGGGTCTTTTGCCAGTCGTATGACACACGGCGTGTTTTTTACCATGTGCCTTTTCTCCAGTGGTAGGCAGTCTACTGAGTGAGTGTGGCTACATTGGTGCATTGTGACATCTGTGAATGACACACAGGTATTGACATGATAGCAGAACAGAGTGTTGTGTCTTCTGCACATAGCTTTAGAGAGGATATAATTATTGTAGGAAAAGATTTTTTTTTTTTTTTTTTGGAGCAAAACGGGCAGTTGGCTTTTTAGTTTAGTTTCCAAAGTGGAGTTTCACTTTAAAAATTTTCACAGTTCTAAAAATCTTTGCAAGCCGTTACTGTGCAAATGTTTATAAATGCACCTTTCTATACATGTTATTGTTTCTCTTTCAAATCATTTTTACTGAAATTTAAGATCAAGGGGGATCAATTATTAAAGAAAATACACTGAGCAGTTAAATACAGTATACTGTGTTGAATAATATAGAGATTAGTAGGGGCAAAGGAGAAAGGCTTGGAATTCCAGACTCTCATCAGTGTGATTTTGAATACTTTGTATCCTAAAAAATACAGACCTCCTACATACACGGAGTTCAGAATGTGCTGAGGTGGCTAGATAACCACGGTCATTCCTTTGTAGCCTATCACACTGAGTTCTTCTAGAAGGAACCAGTCATCTTTGACCTAAAGTTAGGTGACCTGCTTGGGTACACACGGGAGGGATATAGAGCTGGGGGATATAGGGAGGGTTTGGGAAGGCACAGAAATGATTTTAGAAGGGTAGAAGTTGTGTAAGAAGAAAAGGGGAAAGTAGGAGAGTGAGCTAGTTGTGTACAAAACAAGGGGAAGATAGGAGTGTTGGATAGAGTGGGGAATAGGTAGGGTACAGAAACAGGAAAAGGGGAAAGGTGTTTGATCCAAATGAGTGAAGGATAGTAGAAAAAAGAGAGACAAAAAAAAACTCACAATGGAGTTTCATATTGAAAGGGTTCACATGAGTAAAAAATATAAAAAGCTTAATTTGTATTACAATCATTAGACATTACAAAATACAGCAATTAAAAACCACAATAGTTAACAATCACAAGGCTCCTTAAACCGCATTCATTTACCAAATTTGTGGTAAATCATCCATCACCAGAATATGACTTGCGAGTGGGTAACATTAATGGGAAAGGAGATGTGGTAGACCCTCTACATGTTTCACAACGTAGTCACTTCTTCAGGAGGGATGAGCCTTAAAATCTCTATATCGGGATATAAATGAAGATTAGCCAACATGTCACACTAAAGTGTAACTAGTACAAGAAGTATAATAATAATATAATATAATGTAGTATCACTGTTGGGAAATAGCAGCTTACCCAAATTGTGGGGGACGAAGCCTAAGCGGGTGAAGGATAGGTCTGGGTGGGGTAGGGGATGGCATGGGGATGGGCTCTGGGAGAAAGATAAGGGACCAGAACTCCAATGCACTATTTGAGGAGCAAATTGAGTATGGGTAACATTCTCCATGCCTATCCAATGTTGAGGGTCCACTCATATTTGAAAGAGAAAATAGGCTAGGGCCAGACAACACCTGTGATGCTCAAAGTTGGTAGGCTAACCTTGACTAGACAGAGGACCGGTATGTGGCTACATGAGGTGGCAGTATGTTTCACTGTATTTGAACACATGCATGTAAAGCATGAATGTGTATCAATAGCCAAAACTTGTTTTTTTAATGTGAAGAATATTTCTAATTTACATTACAGCAGCAATTTCCAACCTTGTTTATGGCGTGACATACTGTAATAAATCTTTAAATGTTTGTAACACAGAGCATCATGCATTATGAAAACTCTAGGATTATCAGTGTTAACAAGTGTGTTTGCCTCTGTCACAAGGGAAACGAGCAAGAGTGCTATATAGAACAATGACTAAAGAGAATTACCAAGATACTTGGGGAGCTTGTGCAGTATGACATATCTGGAGCTTCTCAGGAAAAGTAATTAAGCACTACCATATCCTTTCATGATGTTGACACTGTCAACTAAGGAAGGAAAGGTGCACATCATATAATAAGAGCTGACACAAAATCTAAGGTGGAATATACTTGCATAGATCCATTCCCTAGTAAAGTAACTATTTTTAGTGCTCTGGGAAAAACGTTAAAGGATTTTGTTGCATGTCAGTAGAGGGGATCAGTCATATGACAATATGAAGTCAGCTTACAACTGATTATTCCCTTGTTAGATTGCATCATGTTTTCCTGAGAAATTTATAGGCTTCAATTCAAGCACATGAAAGTATGCTTCATGCATACTAAATTACATGTTATTTTATTATGACTCAAGGCAAGTGTGGCTCATGGCATCTCAAAAGGGCTGCACAATAAGTTTAGCCTAGGTAGTGCTACAGAAATGCAGGATGCAAACTGTCAGTCTGCTTAGATATTATGCTGGAAACAGGTACTGTATGTTACACAAGACTGTTAGGCTAGGTTCACACTAATGCAGTGTGGTACATCGCATGTGATTCGCACAGGAACCGTACCATTTTCCTGTGCAAATCACGTGCGATTTGTGTGCGGTGTGATTGGAGCCATACATTATGTATGGCTCAAATCACACCACATTCACACCAAAAAGGTGCAGGACCCTTTTTTGGGTCCGCACTAGAATCAGATCGCATGGGTATTCACACCTATGCGATCCGATTCCTCACATCACACCACGTTTTGCGGATCGATTTCTTGGTGTGGTTAACTTAACATACACACCCGCATGAGGAAAGATTAGAGGAACTGAATTTATTCTCTCTTGAGAAGAGGAGATTAAGGGGGGATATGATGAACATGTATAAATACATCAGTGGTTCATATAGTGAACTCGGTGTAGAGCTATTCACCCTGAGGTCATCACAGAGGACAAGGGGGCACTCTTTATGTCTGGAGGAAAATAAATAATCTCCAAACATGGAAAGGTTTCTTCACAGTGAGAGCTGTGAAAATGTGGAATAGACTCCCTCAAGAGCTGGTTCTGGCCAGCTCAGTGGATTGCTTTAAAAAAGGCCTGGGTTGTTTCTTGGATACACAGAATATAACTGGTTACTAACATTTATAGGTAAAGTTGATACAGGGAATATCCGATTGCCTCTCGGGGGATCAGGAAGGAATTCATTTCCCTGCAGGAGCAAATTGCATCGTGCTTTGCTGGTTTTTTTTTTGCCTTCCTCTGGATCAACTCTGTGGGTATAGGATTATAACTTTTTTTTTTTTTTTTTAATGGTTGAACTGGATGGACTTTTGTCTTTTTTCAGCCAGACTAACTATGTAACTATGCATTGGTTCGCATGAACGGGGTGCGATTCTGATACGGTGCGCAATTTGCACAGAAAACGCTGCAAATTCCACACCGCATCAGTGTGAACCCAGCCTTACTGCCATTACAGTCCCTTTACAAATCAATACTCCCATATTTCTGATCCATTCAACCCCTTAAAAATTACTGGTGATTTATTTGATAGGCTTGTCAGTATGACCCATTATGAAAGAACTGTGAAAAATATACATGAAAAAAGGGCAACATATCAGAACAAAAAGTTTAAAAAATAAACCATACCATTTATCTATTTGAAACATTCTTTCAATAGCCTAAGTAAGTACCCTGGCAAGGAGGAAGCCTGCTTACAGCTTGCTGGGAACAGGGCTGCACCACAAGTACCAAAAAGCCTAGGATCCAGGGCCTTAAACAAATCCTCTGATGAGAGAAAAGTGTAGGCTGTCCTGAAAATGCTAGCTATTTGCCTGTCATGCAGGTGGATTCAGTACTTGCTGAGTCACTGACCCAGAGTAAGTTTGCAAATGAGCTCTCACTTATCTGGCTGTATGCTGCAATATCTACATGTTAGGGATAACTGCCAGGCAATAAGCATTTTGAGAGAGGCTAGTAATGGTAGCTTCCATATATGCTGATCAGCCATAACATTATGACCACTGACAGGTAAAGTGAATAATGTTGATTATCTTGTGACTATGGCACCTGAAAGTGGGTGCGATATATTAGGCAGCAAGTAAATATGGTGTCCCTGAAGCTGACGTGTTAAAATCAGAAAAATATGGGTAAATGTAAGGATTTGAGCTACTTTGACACGGGCCAAATTGTTGTGGCTTGATGTCTGGGTCATAGTAACTCTGAAACTACAGCTCTTGTGGAAAGTTCCCAGTCTGCAGTGGTCAGGACCTACCAAAAGTGGTCCAAGGAAGGAAAACTGGCAACAGGGTCAAAAGCGACTAAGGCTCAACAATGCATGTAGCGAGCGAAGACTGTAGCTCAAATTGCTGAAAAAAGTTAAAGTGGAGCTCCACCCGATTTTTAAACTTTTTCTTATTGTTGTCCATTTATAGTTTGGGAGGTTTTTTTTCTTTTTTTTTTTGGAAAAGTTTACATACCTTTTTTAGTCATCAATCCCAGGAATCAACGAGCATCCCTCGCTTGTAGCATCGCCTTATTTCCGAACAACTTGCACTGTGCAGTGTCCTTACTGCGCAGGCGTGAGATCAAGAGGTGCATGCTGGGATAGCCTGCAGCACCTAATCTAGGAAGTGAACAGTAGCTGGCTTCAGATGCCCACATCCATCATGGAACCTGCCTGCTTCCGAGATCTATGTAAGATAATTTAGATTATTTACATAACAAGCATGATATCATACTTAGCTCATATTTAAATGCAAGTTGCAATAATTACGAGGGAGCTGTTTAAGAAAAAAATGAGGACTGGAACTCTGCTTTAATGCTGCTTCCTAAAGAAAGGTGTCAGAACGTACAATGCATTGCAGTTTGTTGCATACGGGGCTGTGTAGCCATAGATCGGCCAGGGTGCCCATGCTAAAAGCATCTACAATCAACACATGAGCTTCAGCATTGGACCACGGGGCGAGAAGGTGTCTTCAAGGTGTTGACTAGGCCTCCAGATTTAAGTACAATAGAGCATTTGTGGGATATGCTAGAAAAACAAGTCCGATCTTTGGAGTTCTCACCTCAAAACATACAGGACAATAAAGGATCTGATACTGTCGCTTGGTGTCAGATACCACAGCATTCTTTCAGAGGTCTAGTGGGGTCCATGCCTCAATGAGTCAGGGCTGTTTTGGCAGCAAAAGGGGGACCTACTCAATATTATGTGGGTGGTCATGTGGTGGGTGGGCATATTGTTATAGCTGATTGGTGTATCTCACAGCACAGGTTTGCATTCTATTTTTGAGAACCTACTGCAGTTTGATGGGTCAGGGCTGTAGACTGAGCCTGTGCTAGGTAGCAGTGCTTGAAGCTGTGCAATAACATGGACAGATATCCAATACTATGTACAGTATATGCATTATGATATGCAGTGATTGAGTACAGGAATATAACGGGACAGGATAAGCAGATCTTTAGAGAAGCATACATGGTTAACATATTTAATGCATGGTTCTAGCGTAAATGTGTTTAGGGATTATATGAAAACAGAACTGATCTGTTTGTCTTGTGTACAGTCATAGATGAGATCTCGAATGAAGACACCGTTGAACGTATAGTCAAGTGCATCATACAGAATGAAGGTAGGCACTTGTAGCCTGTATTGTGATAGCTTCATTGTTTAAGTTAGCAGGTACTCAATAGACTTGTTTTTATTTTTCTCCACTTAAGCAAATGCAGAAGCACTTAAACAGATGCTGGGGGACACAGAAGGAGAGGTGCTCATCGGTCCCAAGTGAGCATACATTATTTATCAGTACATAAGTTGTTTGGTAATAAAATACTCTCAAAGTTATTTTAAAAGACATGGCAAAGACTGGTGATGATCTGCAAAAAAGTAAAAGGTTATAACTACCAATCAAATGTTGGTTTACTAAGTAAGGGCAATGAAAAAGTATTTTTATTTGGTTGCATTGTATTAATGGATAAAAATACTTTTAAATGACCCCCTCTCATCTGTACCCCCATACTTGTCAATGTTCCCACCAGACGTTGCACATTCACTGCTTCAGAGGCCAAGCTGTACTTTATCCATACATGTGCACCTCAATCTCTGTTCATTCATATGAAAAGTCAGTCCACTGTGGGCCTCCACAGACAGCAGTAATACCTAAAAAAGGTCTCTCACCCCTTCCCCTGAAATATTTTTGGCTAGGGTTTAACTTTACGTTCTGATAAAATTGTCAGAACATTCTGAAACAATAAGTTCAACGTGTTATTTTTTGAATTCTCAGTGTCCATTATTACATATTTAGACTTTTCCCCCCTATTTTACTCCCAAAAATATTTTATTATGGGTAATGAGTTTTATATGATTTGGTAGGCCTGCAAAAGGCCTATAAAGAAAGCTCTGTTCGGTTCCTCACACAGAATTGAGTTGGACTGTGTAGATTTAAATAGATCATAGAAGAAAATAAAAAATAGTTTTCATTGTTTTGACAGCTATAATCTAATAAAAGGAGATGGCTGTTTTTGGTAAAGTGGTCACATTTCATGACATTTTAGTTATATAATTCCATAGTTGGTAAGGTTGAAAAAAAGACAAAAGGTTTTCTGGTTCAACCAATAGAGGAAAATATAGTATTTATAAACATCTGGACATGAGACCTTATTTATTGAACCCCAGATAAAATTTAAAAAAAAAATAGGAATTGTATTAACAACCTTCAGTTTCATAGAGTTACCTAGACTTTCCTATTGCAGCAGTTATGCAGAGTGTCTGCATAGGACTGTGCAGTGCAATAGGCATCAGAGCTGAGCCGGCCATACATGGATCAAAATTTGACCAGTTCAGCAGAGGCAGGCTGGTTCATGTATTGGCAGGCTAGTCCATCTATCGGTTGACCTATGTATTACCAGCTTGTTGGAAAATTTTCTTTCGATTAGTGCCCCTGGCTACACTGCTCAATGTATTGATCAGCAGAGGGAGGATCCCCCATCCACATTGAGTGTGTGGATGGGAGAGTCGAGTCATTTTCTTTCATTCAACCCACTGGTTGGATGACAAAAACTGACTCATGTGTGGCCAGCCTTAGACCCAATGATGTTAGTAATCAGCACTCAGTAACAGACCTGGCTGGACACACCCCAATCTACCTCTGCCGTACAGGTCTGTGAGAGGACACTTGTAATGAGAGGTGTAGTAGGAACTCAGCTCTGCCAGCATAGAGCACCAGAGTGGAAGTGTGGAAATCAACATTTTCTAAGGAAGAAAAAGTCAGTCACATTAGTCAACATAACTAGTGGGGTACAGAACCATAAAGAAGTAAAAAGATTTGAGACTTCATTGAGCTTTAACCCTTTCACTGTTGGCTATCAAATGGAAGCATTTCAGCAGTAGCGCAGCCGCCCGATTGCTTCCAAAACCACCAGTAATGACACTTTGTCCCCTAGGTGATGAAAAAAAGAAGTTAAGTAAAAAAAACATTTTTTTAGACCCAAGCACATAAAATCCCTCCCCCCAAATTTTTGAGGCTCCCCCCACCCCCACATACACACATGTACAAACATAAATGCATGCATCGGAGGGGGCCTACGCACAAAAACGTCAATTGCGATACACATGTTACATATGACCAATCACACCAGAGTCAAAGCAATATTTCCAAAGCTCCTATGTGATGCTAAACTGATGATCTGTAGGGACCTTTAAAGCGGTGCCTATGGAAAGTTTGTTCATGGACACACACAATTGTAAGGTTTGACATTTTACCAAAACATTTTGGTTTTATATTTTAACAAAAAAAAAATTTGATAATTTATTGTGTTTGTGTACCATAAAATTAACTTTACCTTTGCGCTAATATTTTGTAACAATTAAAATTGGAGCTACTGATATTTTATTTATGCCAACCCCGTGGCATGCTCTTCCCCAGTTTGAGGTCGAGAGCCATATCAGAGGGCTCTGAGGGCCACACGTGGCCCGTGGGCCACAGTTTGAGCACCCCTGTCCTCTTTCTCAAGATGAAGCAGAGACCTAAGACATCTCTGCTTCACCTTGATAAATTGGGCCTCTGTATCCTTAAAACATTGGTACTGATATGGGACTCTACTAAATTGTTGTCTGATATATCATCTCGGTGTGCTGACTCTGCAAGCTGGGTGTTTATTGCTGTCTGTGACCCCATTGGTGAGATTTTCCTCATTTTCTGTCCCTGAAAAGCCTATACAATAAAATATATAATTTTTCCTTCTGCTTCCTAATAGTGCATTGTGAAAGTTAAATGAGGGGTGACATGTACAGAATAATTTTTTTTCAGACATTTTGATAAATAGAGCCAATTATTTTGTAAAAGAATTTCTGTGATAAGAAACTCTTAATGTCTTTGTTTAGAATTTTTTGAATACAGTTCTTTTTCTAAAAAAATCTTTTTCTTTTTCAATGCATATATCTCATTGTTTTGCAGAATTTAAATGTATCTATTTCTGCTTAATGGATCAATGTTTTTGGAATATTAAATCTTTTTTCATCCTTGCTATAATGGATTAATTGTAGGATTCCATCTTCTCTATTGAATCTATTCTCTCTGCTTATCTCTTTCAGTCATTAATTACCGATACCATTACATAATGAATTCTAAGAATGTTTTGTCTGCGGCATTTACTGTCCTCACCAACATGACTTTATCATATTATCATTGATCTGTATTGAAATCCAACTGCAAGAACATTTTTTTAATCTCTGTGTTCTTGAAATAACTTGAAGCAATTACTTGAAAGCTCATGATTTGATTAATGGCAGAGCAGTAAAAGACTGAAAAACACTAGGTGCAAAATCGCATGTAAAATACATGAAAACACATATATACAATGCATGGCATGGCAGCAAAAACATGTTTAAACACAAATGCATTTTCCAAATAAAACACATGCGTTTTTGAATGCCTTAAGTGAGACCAGGCAATAAAGCTTTGTATAGGTCTTCATTGACCCTGGCCATTTATATGTATATGATGATTAGAAGTCAATAGATAGATTTGTATGCAACCAGCTTGCCCATACATGCATAAATCCATGTAAGGCTGTCTTTCCTGGCTGGATCACCAGATGAAAATAGAAGAAAGCCTAAAAAGTAAACAAATGTAGCCATCACATCTAAGAATTAGCAAGCTGGCATATAATAAATGTTTCCTTTTGGGTTTAATACTGCTCTATGTTGCAGAAAAGTATTATTTTAGAAGTGTAAAAAAAATGAGTCATTTTAACTGCCATGTGGTAGCAATGCAGAACACAGAGCATGAAGCTCAGGAAAGTGGATGTTATTGATAACACATATTTTTGCTTTTTACTATTTTGCAAGATTTGTAAATAGCCCAAATGTGAGTTTCCTTATGTTTGGTTAATGCTATGATTCTTTTAGAAAAGGTACCCATTGACCATAGTTCCACAGGTTCTTTTCAGTCTTTACCAACCTTAATTTCCCAGTACCTACACAATCGTTTAAGTTTATTATGGTGCTGTAGTTACTACTGTACACATGGGTTGAATAAATGTGGCCAATGGTGGGATCTAAAAAAGTGATTGATCTCTATTCAGGATCTCTGTAAGTATCAGTGAAACCCTTACTGAACAACATGTCTGGAATTAGAACAGTATGGGGTTGATTTACTAAAGGCAGATTGGTTGTTTGCTTTATAATGTTAGTTGCACTTTGCAAGGGAACTTGCCCCAGAGCTTAGTGAATGAGGTAAAGCTCTGCTGACTTCCATCATCCAATCCAACTACAACTTCTCTTGCAAAGTGAACAGCCTATATGGCTTTAGTAAATCAACCTCTATGTGATGTAAATAAAAAGACACAAAATAAATCATTTTTTAAAAAACTGTAATGGACTCAATATCTACAGTATAAAAATATAGGTATAAATAGTATATTATAGAGTAAATACACTATCAGATCTTTGTCCTGATATAGTTTTTTTTCTTTCTTTTTTTTTTTTACAATACACAGTTAAAATACCATGTTCTCATGAAAACCTATTGAAACCTAGGTTAGATTTGAGTACTATATCCCAAAAAATTATAAAGGCCCATATCTATTTTTGAATGATATACACACACAGTGATTTATTAATAAAAATCACATAACCTATATTAACCAAAATAGAGGAAAATTCGTCAAGTGAGGCTTGTAGAGTGCATCCCTAACCCGAGTCCAGGTAATACAACCTTGTATTATTTTTATAACCTATATAAGGTAAAAACCCTCAAAAGCATTTCTTATATAGATAGAATTCTTTATTGCAGCTTCCAAAATCTCAGGTGCAATCATATTGAAACTGGTGTAAACATTGCCCCCACTGTAAGCCTTTGAAAAGCTAGTAATGACATAATTACGGTAAATTCACTCATAACAGGCCATTAGGCGCTGGTAATGATGTCGTCTGCCTGGTTGCCATGATTTTCTCCAAGATCCATCTGAATTTGTGTGAATCACAGACATATTCAACCTGCTTCCACAAATGGAAGGTGTGGCCTCATTGACTTCAATAGTGTTGCTACAAATTGAGCTCAATACCTGCAGGTTACCTGTTAGTCCTCATGCACACTTGATGGCTGTTTTTTTGGAATTGACGTTTTTTTCTACAGCTTGTAAACCCCCCAGCATGTTATCCTATGTGTCCATGCACACATAGACTGTAATCAATCTTTTTTGGCTGGAAAAAAAACCCATTACTAGTGGGTTTCTAGAGGAGTTTTTTAGCTGTAAAAATGCGGTAAAATGCCGCAAAGCTGCGTTTTTAGACTTTTTTGACCAGGAAAGAAAAAAATTTTTTTTGTAAAAAAAATGCTAAACAACGTTAACGTTTAGCTGGAAAAAAGCTGGAAAACGTCGCTAATCGCAGCTAAACGCTAATGCAAAAACTCTAAAAAAAAGCTGAAAAACTCACATTTTTTAAAGTTTTTAACGTACAAAGCTAATGTTACCAGCGTTATCAAAACACCCGGTGTGCATGAAGCCTTAAGGTTCTTCTTATCCAATCATGTAGCTGGCCAAGAACACATGTAGCACAGGCCAAGAACACAGATGGAGGTTTAAGTAGCACCTGACTGGTTTCGCCAGTCCCATCTGACTGTGTCTCTGGTTATTATTGCTGCAGCATTTTGAGGTTCATATATTAAGAGCGAAGTAATTCAAAGGACATTATTACCACTTTCCAATTGTTTGTCATTAGTAAATTCAGCCTGATTATATTATCACTGGCATTTGAAAGGTTTGTTATGTAGATACTGTTTAAACAGACACCTACTGATTGCACCTGAGAATTTGGAGCAATTGTATGAGCTTGGATTATGCCTGATCCTGCTTGATCCACATGATGAATGTCCATGTGGAAACTGCAATATGGAATTCCATTTATATAAGAATTGCTTTTGAGAGTTTTAAAAACCTCATACGGCTTATAATAATACAGGATTGATGCACTCATTTTTTTTTCTTCAATTTTGGATAGTAAAAGTCATGTGATTTGCATTGAAAGGTCACTGAATGTGTGTACGTAATTCAAAGATGTATATGGGCCTTCATCTTTTTTTGGACCTAGGATTTAATAGGCATTTCTGAGACAGTGGTATAGTACATTGTAAAATAAATATCTACATAGGGACACAGCTCTGAGGGTGTAATTTACTCTATTGTATACATTTTATACAGTGCCTTGAAAAAGTATTCATATCCCTTGAAATTTTCCACATTTTGTCATGTTACAACCAAAATCAAAAATGTATTTTATTGCGATTTTATGTGATAGACCAACAAAGAATGGCACATATTTGTGAAGTGGAAGGAAAATGATAAATGGTTTTCAAATTTTTTTTACAAATAAATATCTGAAAAGCGTGGCGTGCGTTATTCAGCCCCCTTGAGTCAATACTTTCTAGAACCACCTTTCACTGCAATTACAGCTGCAAGTCTTTTTGGGAATGTCTCTACCAGCTTTGCACATTTAGAGAGTGAAATTTTTGCCCATTCTTTTTTGCAAAATAGCTCAAGCTCTATCAGGTTGGACAAAGAGCATCTGTGAACAGCAATTTTCAAGTCTTGCCACAGATTCTCAATTGGACTTAGGTCTGGACTTTGACTAGGCCATTCTAACACATGAATATGCTTTGATCTAAACCATTCCATTGTAGCTCTGGCTGTATGTTTAGGGTTGTTGTCCTGCTGGAAGGTTAACCTCTGCCCCAGTCTCAAGTCTTTTGCAGACTCTAACAGGTTTTCTTCTAAGATTGCCCTGTATTTGGCTCCATCCATCTTCCCATCAACCCTGACCAGCTTCCCTGTCTCTGCTAAAGAAAAGCATGCTGCCACCTCCATTTTTCATGGTGGGGATGGTGTGTTCATGTGATTACAGTGTTAGTTTTCTGCCACACATAGCGTTTTGCTTTTAGGACAAAAAGTTCAATTTGGTCTCATCTGACCAGAGCACCTTCTTCCACATATTTGCTGTGTCCCCCACATGGTTTCAAACTGCAAACGGGACTTATGACTTTCTTTCAACAATGGCTTCTTCTTCTGTGGATCTCTCCTCCAGAGTTACCATGGGCCTCTTAGCTGCTTCTCTGAAGAATGCTCTCCTTGCCTGGCCTGTCAGTTTAGGTGGACAGCGGCCATGTCTTCGTAGGTTTGCAGTTGTGCCATACTCTTTCCATTTTCGGATGATGGATTGAACAGTGCCCTGTGAGATGTTCAAATCTTAGCATAATTTTTTATAAACTAACCCTGCTTTAAACTTCTCCACAACATTATCCCTGACCTGTCTGGTGTGATCCTTGGCCTTCATGATGCTGTTTGTTCACTAATGTTCTCTAACAAACCTCTGAAGGCTTCACAGAACAGCTGTATTTCTACTGAGATTAGATTACACACAGGTGGACTCATTATTGGACTCAATTATTTACTAATCAGGTGAAGGCAATTGGTTCCACTAGATTTTAGTTAGGGGTATCAGAGTAAAGGGGGCTGAATACCAATGCATGCCACACTTTTCAGATATTTATTTGTAAAACATTTTGAAAACCATTTTTCATCTTCCTTCCACTTCACAGTTATGTGTCACTTTGTGTTGGTTTATCTCATAAAATCCACCAAAAATACATTTACATTTTTGGTTGTAACATGACAAAATGTGGAGAATTTCAAGGGCAGGGTAGTTGAATTTATATCGCCTGACGGCCGGGACATGTAGTTCTGGGCGCCGGGCAGGTAGTTTTTTTTCTACCTTTAGCCCTGCTGCGGGCAAGCAGGGCTTACCTGTCAGGTGGAAGCATTCGGGTGGCAGCACTGTCGTCCAAATGCTTCCAATCAGCGCCAGCCTCCCTGCCCCTCCTTGTGAAGCTCCCCCTGTCCACTGTCTCCAGGGCTCTGCTTGCCCATCTGTGGGCCCGGGACCTGCTCACCGCCAGCTAGAGTGGAGGGAGGAGAGCGGAGACGTTTTTGGTTGTAATATGACAAAATGTGGAAAATTTCAAGGGGATGAATACTTTTTCAAGGCACTGTATAGATTTATAGATATTGATAGAGTCTATTGCAGCCTTTAAAGGAGAAATTGAAGGGTGTTTTTTTTTCTTTAAATCATACTTACCTAGGTGGATGCAGCATCGGTCCCCCGCTGGTTCTGACTGAGAACTGAGCGATCAAAGTTAGCTGATTGCTCAGTTCTCAGTGCTTCGTGAACAGAGAGCTGGTGACTGTCAGTCTCTGCTCTGCAACCCACTCCCAGCGCTCACTGGAGCGCTAGCCTGTGGAGGGGGAGGGAGTGGCTGGATCGCTGAGAGGCTGAGCTGGGTACAGGTCCACACATCTAGGTGCATCCTGACTTTAAAGTCGGGATCTTTCCCCACCCTGAACCGGATGAGTGACGTCAGCTGACAGCAGCCTGCTGTCGGCTGAAAACAGGTCACAGGAGTGCAGAACGAACTGCATTCTTGTGACCCACAGGAGAACTACAGCCAAACGAGCTTTGGCTGTGCTTCTCCTTTAAGACAGTTTTTTGTTTCTTTTTCTTTACAATCCAGTATATACCATGGGCTCCAAACTGAAGGATTTGTTTCTTTGTTAATTTTGTCAGACAGCAGGTGTTGCGCAATACTAATTAATACAAATCTTTAGAAAGTATAAATCTTACTAGTTGCTATAGGTTAAGGCATGCAGATCTTGATTTAGACTCTTTTTGTAATTATCTCTCACAGTGAGTTTGACAATTTCAGCAATTAATGGAATCATAACTATAATATTTATCTGCTTTTAACTAGTCTTTGTCCACATCGTGAGAGCCAGGATGCTGGCCCTACCCACCATCATACAGTTCACCTGGGGTCAACACAGGCTCCCTGCATTCACTGTACCCGTAAGAAAAGGAGCCTGCTCCACCGCATGGGTCGGTCAAAGGAAAGCAGGGGGAAGTCACATCCTGGAGAGGTCACGGTCTTCTCTGTTGGAAGGTATCCTAAAGTGTTTTAGAATATAAACAGAAAATATAATTGTTTCATTACCTTGGAGGGCCTAATTCTCTTGTAAATTGTGTGTTTAAAAGTAGGCTTATTTCTAGGCTAGTTTCTAGTGAGCTTATAGTTTGATTATTTATTATTAATGGTTGCACTTTGGGACTCTTGCTCCTGAATGTTTTTTTTTTTACTGAGGTAAAATGTTGCCCATTATTTACAATGTGCCTTTGCACACAGGTGTGTAAAGAAGCACCACTTATTCCTCTGTAAAAAAAAATAGGAATCCTGCATTTTTGGTTAGTAATTTACCCCACATATGCGCATAAATATTAATCGCATGTTCTCAAGTATGTGCATAAATTTGTGTGATTACATGCATAACAAGCACCTTAATTTACATTAAGTAGATGCTCAAACATCAGTACCATGTGCAAGAGGCCTAAATAAAAATATATATAACACAACACTTGCGCTCAGATTTTAAACCACAAAAAAAAAAAATAAAATGAAATAAAACAGAATAAAAGCAGCTTGCAATTTTAAAGGCAATGTTTTAATATAAATTGAAAAAAATGCACCGCAAATTATACAATAACACTAGGTCAAAATAAAGTCCATATAAGTCCCCAAATGAATAGAAGCAGGTGCATAAAAAAGTTTGATTCAAAACCGTCACCATACACCCGAAACAAATTGGCCTCTTACCAGACAATTTGACCGTACAAAATCGGTCAACAAGCGCAGTGTGATATAACATCAATACAGCAATCGATCCTCAATAGAAATCCCCTCCAGGATGAAAGGTAACTTCTCAAAATATGCAGTGTGCTTTTGGGTGCCTTTCATTGTTAATGGCAACTCGAATGCAGTTAGCAGACATGCGTTTTGCCGCACATTTTGTCATTTGACAAATGCGCTACAAATTATTATTATTATTACTATATACAGGATTTATATAGCGCCAACAGGTTGCTCAGCGCTTTACAATATAACAGGAGACAATACAGCAACGAAACAGTTCAATACAAGAGGGATTTGAGGGCAATGCACCAAAATGTGTACTGAAAAAAATGCAGACTGCTCCATGACCAAAGAGGTTCATTTTGTTTTTTTGGGCCCTTATTTATGCGTATTAGGGTGCAGTTTTTAAATGGCCAGTTTTGGCTGTTTTTTTCAACATACATTTTGGCGTTTGTTTTTCTAAAATGCATTTTAGCAAATTTTTTAATGTGCATTTTGGTGCTTATTTAACGGGTATTTTTGCTCCTTTTTAAACTGCATTTTTGTGTGCGCTGCAGAAATGCATGCAAACTGCATATCATGCTTGTGGTGCCATTAATCGTTTACCGCTTCCCGAGCGCCCTATAGCAGAAATACTGCTACAGGGCAGCACGGGTGCGCAAAATCACGTATATATGTGATTTTGCATTTCCGGGTAGGGGCCGCACGAGGTAAGCGTGCGCCCTACCCGCTCCGCCATTCGCTCCTGCGGCTGTCAATCACCAGGTCTTGGCCGGTAATTACTCGCCAGCGCCCGGTGATTTCCAAAGATCTCCAACGGGGAGGAGGACTGTTTTGTTTACTAACAGTTCTCCTCCCTGTGAGCTCTGGTACACTGCTCTGAATGGTTGTTCACAGCACAGCCATCCAGAGGAGTGTGATTACAGTGAAGCACACAGACACTGCCCACTACTATAACACTCCCTGCACACAGTTAATCCTTTAATCACCCCTCATGTTATACCCCTTCCTGCCCAGTGCCATTAGTACAGTGTCAGTGCTTTTTTTTAGCACTGATCACTGTATTGGTGTTACTGGGGATGTCAGTGACACCAAGTCAGTTCCCCCCAGTGTCAGAATGTCCGTCACAGTCCCGCTATAAGTCGCTGATCGCCGCCATTACTAGTATTGGGATTTTTTTTTTAGCAAAGACATGTAGCAGAATACATTTTGACATAAATTTATGACGAAATTAGATTTTTTGAATTTTTTTTTACTGGACATGTTTAATAGTAAGACGTCAAAAATATACAGTCAGGTCCATAAATATTGGGACATCGACACAATTCTAACATTTTTGGCTCTATACACCACCACAATGGATTTGAAATGAAATGAACAAGATGAGCTTTAACTGCAGACTGTCAGCTTTAATTTGAGGGTATTTACATCCAAATCAGGTGAACGGTGTAGGAATTACAACAGTTTGCATATGTGCTTCCCACTTGTTAAGGTACCAAAAGTAATGGGACAATTGGCTTCTCAGCTGTTCCATGGCCAGGTGTGTGTTATTCCCTCATTATCCCAATTACAATGAGCAGATAAAAGGTCCAGAGTTCATTTTAAGTGTGCTATTTGCATTTGGAATCTGTTGTTGTCAACTCTCAAGATGAGATCCAATGAGCTGTCACTATCAATGAAGCAAGCCATCATTAGGCTGAAAAAACAAACCAAACCCATCAGAGAGATAGCAAAAAAATTAGGCGTGGCCAAAACAACTGTTTGGAACATTCTTAAAAAGAAGGAACGCACCGGTGAGCTCAGCAACACCAAAAGACCCGGAAAACCACGGAAACCAACTGTGGTGGATGACTGAAGAATTCTTTCCCTGGTGAAGAAAAACACCCTTCACAACAGTTGGCCAGATCAAGAACACTCTCCAGGAGGCACATATGCAAACTGTTGTAATTCCTACACCGTTCACCTGATTTGGATGTAAATACCCTCAAATTAAAGCTGACAGTCTGCAGTTAAAGCACATCTTGTTAGTTTCATTTCAAATCCATTGTGGTGGTGTATAGAGCCAAAAATGTTAGAATTGTGTCGATGTCCCAATATTTATGGACCTGACTGTAGTTTTTTCCCCAAAATTGTCAGCCTTTTTTTTATAGCACAAAAAATAAAAAACGTACAGGCGGTCAAATACCACCGAAAGAAAGCTCAATTCATGGGGGAAAAAAAGTATGTAAATTTCATTTGGGTGCTGTATTGCTTGACCGCGCAATTATCAGTTAAACTAATGCAGCGCCGCAATGCAAAAAATGGCCTGGTCAGGAAGGGAGGTAAATCCTCAGGAGGGCAAGTGGTTAATGGCACCCCAAAAGTGTCTATCAGATGTGCATTTTGCCAAAATGCGCATAAAAATCACATCAAAATGGACATTAAAAAGTGCCAAAATATGTGCTAAAAGAAGAGCCAAAATGTGTGTTACAAACCACACCACAGTGTGGGTTAAAATAACCTATGCCAAAATGTGTGTTTAGAAGAGCGTGTGTTAAAAGAATGCCAAAATGCTCAATAAAAGGGTAAAAATACATGTTTAAAGAAAGTGCCAAAATGTGCGTTAAAAAAAAAGGATGTTAAAAAAAGCACCAGTGCTCAGTGCCTATTATCTTCATGTAATTACATGGTCTGTTTAACCTTGGTTTCACTTCTTAGAGTCAGCTGTATTGTAATCTCACAATATCTCACAAAATCACAGGAAGCCCTCTCCCTTCTACACAGATCTCAGCCATTCTCAGTGGAAAAACTTCTCTCTTCTCCTCCTGAGAACAAATGTTCTGGGTTTCATAAACAGGGTGTCACAGGAAATGATTTTTCTCTGAGAACAGCTGAGAACTAAAATGATAGAAATTCTCTCTGTTTAATAAACATACACCTATGTTTGGAGATACTGTATCCATTATCTTTTTTTCTAGATTCAGGGTTACCCACATTGGAAAGAAATCAAGTATTCAGTTATCACAGGATGATCCCAACATTGGTAGTGAGCCCATATCATCTGACAATGCTGAGGAACAACATGCTGCAAAGTCAATAAATGGTGTCACTACATATGGGGCCTCGGTGGGCTTGTCTCAAAATGGACCAGAATCATTGGGGTTAACAAAGCTGGAAAGCCAAAAAGATGCAGAGTCCAGATTGGATGACCATAATGGACTTAAAGGTTTAGAGGAGAAAACGGAAAGGATCTTAACAAATAGCAAAGGATTCAAAGAGAGACGAAGCAGTGCACCGGAGCAGACAGCAGTACATCAAGAAAGTGTGGATATACTTCTGCTTCGAAGAAGAGAACAAAGCAAAGAAGAAGCAGAATCCGCAGAAGAGCAGGTATAGCTGGTGGTATTAAAACATGCCATTTTATATGCATACTTTATAAATAAATAAGATTACAGTTATAAATGTGAACTTCAAAAGAAGGTACGGAGATTAGCATAACAAAAGTTTAATATAGTGTGGGAAAGATTAGAACCGTCGTATGGCTGTTTCTGCTATCTGGGACTCTCTGAGATTTTCTCTCACTTTCTGCCCCAGTGACAGCGACAGAAATCTGCAATGGGGACACATACAACAATTAAAATCTGAATGAGATTCTATCCTTCCTTTGCTTCTTAAAAAAAAAGTGTTGATATTGGAGAGTTCCTCTGTCTTCCTATCTGATAAAGAGCTCTCAGTCAGAAGGAGGTGCAGGTACATCTCTTTACAGGAGTCCTGAATGACAGTAAAACCCAATAAGGAAGCTACCCATTCCTCTATCCAAAGCTGATAGAAAAAAATTTGGCTGGATATGCCCTTTAAGAACCCATTCACACTTTGTTGTTCTGGTTTGTTAAATGTATGCGCATTAGTGCATGTTATGTAAGTTGCGTTAAGGCAGCCCATTGAAATTAGTGGGCTGCCAACACACCAGAATGGAGAAAAAAATTGGGCAAGTGGTATTTTTGCATCACACTACAAGGCACAGTAGTACATTATCGTGTGTCATGGTAAATTGCAACTCCTGTGTGTCAGAGCTTTGGAGTGCCATTGAAAATGAATGACACTAGAATACATCTTGGATAATGTGTTGCGGTAATACTGGTAAAACAGATACAGTGAGGCAAATAAGTATTTAGTCAGCCACCAATTGTGCAAGTTCTCCCACTTAAAAAGATGAGAGAGGCCTGTAATTGGCATCATAGGTAGACCTCAACTATGAAAGACAAAATGAGAAAAAAAATCCAGACAATCACATTGGCTGATTTGGAAAGAATTTATTTGCAAATTATGGTTTAAAATAAGTATTTGGTCACCTACAAACAAGCAAGATTTCTGGCTCTCACAGACCTGTACCTTCTTCTTTAAGAGGCTCCTCTGTCCTGGCACCTGTTTGAACTTGTTATCAGTATAAAAGACACCTGTCCACAACCTCAAACAGTCACACGCCAAACTCCATTATGGTAAAGACCAAAGAGCTGTCGAAGGACACCAGAAACAAAATTGTAGACCTGCACCAGGCTGGGAAGACTGAATCTGCAATAGGCAAGCAGCTTGGTGTGAACAAATCAACTGTGGGAGCAATAATTAGAAAATGGAAGACATACTAGACAACTGATAATCTCCCTCGATCTGGGGCTCCACGCAAGATCTCACCCCGTGGGGTCAAAATGATCACAAGAACGGTGAGCAAAAATCCCAGGACCACACGGGGGGACCTAGTGAATGACCTGCAGAGAGCTGGAACCAACGTAACAAAGGTTACCATCAGTAACACACTACGCCGCCAGGGACTCAGATCCTGCAGTGCCAGACGTGTTCCCCTGCTTAAGCCAGTACATGTCCGGGCCCGTCTGAAGTTTGCTAGAGAGCATTTGGATGATCCAGAAGAGGATTGGGAGAATGTCATATGGTCAGATAAAACCAAAATTGAACTGTTTGGTAGAAACACAACTCGTTGTGTTTGGAGGAGATAGAATGCTGAGTTCAAAGAACACCATACCTACTGTGAAGCATGGGGGTCGCAACATCATGCTTTGGGGCTGTTTCTCCACAAAGGGACCAGGACGACTGATCCATGTACAGGACAGAATGAATGGGGCCATGTTTCGTGAGATTTTGAGTGCAAACCTCCTTCCATCAGCAAGGGCATTGAAGATGAAACGTGGCTGGGTCTTCCAACATGACAATGATCCCAAACATACCGCCCGGGCAACGAAGGAGTGGCTTCGTAAGAAGCATTTCAAGGTCCTGGAGTGGCCTAGCCAGTCTCCAGATCTCAACGCCATAGAAAACCTTTGGAGGGAGTTGAAAGTCCGTGTTGCCCAGTGACAGCCCCAAAACATCACTGCTCTATTGGAGATCTGCATGGAGGAATGGGCCAACATACCAGCAACAGTGTGTGCCAACCTTGTGAAGACTTACAGGAAACGTTTGACCTCTAGCATTGCCAACAAAGGATATATAACAACGTATTGAGATGAACTTTTGATATTGACCAAATACTTATTTTCCACCATAATTTGCAAATAAATTCTTTCCAAATCAGCCAATGTGATTGTCTGGATTTTTTTTCTCATTTTGTTTCTCATAGTTGTGGTCTACCTATGATGCCAATTATAGGCCTCTCTCATCTTTTTAAGTGGGAGAACTTGCACAATTGGTGGCTGACTAAATACTTTTTTGCCCCACTGTAGGTGTAAATGGGCCCTAAAGCAAACCTGGAGGCTTCAATTCTGACATCCTGTTGTGAAAATGCTAGTTGCCCTTACTGTCATACTGATTCTCTTGCTTTTATGTGTGTGGGGTTTTTTTTTTTTATAAGGATTTCTTCATTGTTACACAGCATAAGTAACAGTTTCAACCAAACAGCAGTAATGGTAGGGCAATAAGAACAAAATAGTAGCCATAATGCACTACAAATAGCTATTACAAAAATATGAATGGTTCTGGTTACCTGATTAAATGACAAGAAAATAGAAAGGGATAGGGAGGGACAAGCCAAAAAGGGAGCATGGGGAAAAAGAAGGAGGAAAGGACGTGGAAAGGGAAAGGCAGGATTGGGAAAAGCACCAACCAGACAAAACCTTTATCAGGACATTACTGAGAGACCTTATCATAATCTTAGGACAATTTCTATTCATATGTGTCAACTTAAGCTGTGATTCCTTCCTGCTGAGCCATTGTGTTCTCCCAGCAGCAGGGGAGTTGTCTCCCTCAGCAGAACACAGTGATTACTAATAATTGCATGTAAAATCCTACAGGCTGGTTGTACCCATGGTGATCTATTGATCAACTTGGGTACATTCAGCCTGCCTATATATGGCTTGAATCTCGAGTGGTCCCTGCTGAACCAGCTTCTATAGCCTGCTTAACACAGAGGTAAAACAGCATTAAAAGACAGCTTCCAGGAGGTCACCGCGTGTGGTAGAGGCTACTTCCATTAACAAAGAATTTCTTTCTGAGCATAGTATAATAAATATAGGATCAATAATTTTGTATGATGTGATCTTTGGTCATCATAATGTATACCCAACAAAGCCAGTTCAGGAGACATCGATATGTTCATTTGCAGATGGGAAATAATAAGATCGAATATATCCATCCAGAAGTGATGCACTTTGGTACAAGTCCAAAGCATATGTAGATACATACCAGGAATTAACTGGCATCAAGGACAAGCAGAGAATCCTGCTATATGTTTGAGTCACAGAACAAGTCAGGAATTTTGACTTTTTTGATCTGTATTCTTTCTCTAGTAAATGGCAGACAAATTATTAAAACCAAGGGGGATCTACAGAAACACTATGCAACTAACATTTCTTAGAAGGAGGTCAGAAATGGCAGCCCTCCTAGTCTTGTTGTGACAGGTCACAATACCTGTCTTGTAGATGAAAGTTGATCTCCATGTTCCACAACAGCCTTTTGCCTGCAGTATTAGTAGCCCAGCATTCACTTAATGGGAGCTGTTATTTGTATAAACCGCCTTTGTTCTGAGAAGTAACATAATCTTCCTGCAGATGAATGTTCCTTTTTCTGGAGAATCTCCAACTTCGTGATTGTTTTTCCTGTTCATTTCTCCTTTATGCTGCAAATGCTCCCAGGCCTAGCTCAATGACATGCTCAGAGTAGCAGTCTATACACTCCTACAATGCTGAAACACAAAGACCTCCTGCGTACTTGCGCCTTTTTTGGCGAATGCCTGTTTGATCAAGGTGTATGTATAGCCAAACTTTTTTAATTTTGAATTGAATAGATCAGGAAAGGAACAGAACCACTGTCAAGTTTTTATTGGCTGTCTGGGTCCCCACTGGGGGGATGCATACTCTTAATTGGTTCTGCTGGCTGTTTTCACAGAGACAGAAAAGAATGGGATATCCAAAATTTTAGAGTTGTCCCTAGACAAGATGTGAGGGTAAATCTTTCAATGGGGACACCCACTCAATGACAACTGTTTAAGGGGGGGGGGGGGGGGAATTTCACTCAGTTTATAGAGATTTATTGTCACTTTCTGTTTGGTCTCTGGGACAGGAAAGGAAATCGGGAAATCTCCCTAATAGCACGCAGACAGCAAAAAATAACCTGATGGGTTTATTTCTCTTCCTTATACTATCCAAAACTAAAAAAAAAATTTTGAATAAACATACACTTTGTACAGTGTGTTGGGTTACAAACACATTACAGGACGTAATTATAAGTCCTCATGCACACTGGACGTTTTTACAGCTGCTGTGTTTGGCTTTTGCCATTTTTTTGCCGTTTTTTTTCTACAGCTAGTAAACTCTCCAGCATGCTATCCTATGTGTCCATGCACACATAGACTGTAATCAACATTTTTTGGCTGGAAAAAAAACCCAGGACTAGTGGGTTTCTAGAGGAGTTTTTTAGCTGTTAAAAAGCTCTAATGATGAAAAACGCTGTGAATCACAGTAAAACACTGCAAATCTGCATTTTTGGACTATTTTTGAATAAGAAAAAAAAATTATTCTCTGGTAAAAAAAAAACGCAAAAAAAAAAAAAACCTAGGCAAACGCTGCTAAACATGGCAAAACACTGCTAAATGCTAATGCAAAAATGATAAAAAAAAGCTGAAAAACTACGTTTTTTAACGTGACTTTACACAGCTAACGTTACCAGCGTTATCAAAACACCCAGTGTTCATGGAGCCTTAATGTGTCACAAGTAGGACTGACCTAGACATTCCTTGGCAGCCATACACATTAGGTAAGTGACTGTTAGAAACTGAAAGCCTGTAGAGTGGTGGTCAAATGGTTAGTACTCTTGCCTTTTGGATATACAGTCAATCCTGGTTTTGAATCTCACCTGAGACAGTATCTGCATGGATGTTGCACTTTTTCCTT